ACGTCCTCTTAACAGATAGAGTTGAGACGATTCTGTAATTATCGGTGACCATTATCGTTACTGAGATTAGTGTTTTTAACTGTGTGATAACTCCTTAGTTTAAGATTAGTTCGATATAAGATACAGCGCTGGTTACGCCATATCTGTTGATGCAGTATTAATTTGAATGAAAAAGACTGTGAGATAGATTTTAGGTAACGTTGTTGAACACTGAATCAATATTGCAAAAACAATATTTGACGTACGTGTTTGAGTTTTTATAATGTCTGGACTAAAAAGATGTATCAGTCAACTGTCAATGTTTATGACTGGGAAACCAATCAACTCGTCGGAGTCAGCTTGGAGAGAGGAATTTCAAAAGTGAGTTGTTAATGTTATCGATTCGTCATTTAAAGTGTTAATTTTAATTAACACTTTAAATGACGAATCCTTTCATATTACCTTTCATATTTTAAAACTTAGTTTTATATAATAACAAATAAAAATGTGACTTATAAACATGTAAACATAAGTAGATATTTAAGCATCTTCTATACGTATGTGTAAATTCTATAAGTCACTTACTGCGTTGTTGAGAATACACTAGACAATTGCCAGTTGGGGTGTATTATGTTTGAGGTCGAGTGTTACGAAAAAAATATGAAAAGCATGCGGCCTTCCCATTATATATAAACAAGAATATTTGGCAACTAACCGTTGGATTTTTCTACTCAGTACTTCTTGGAAACGGTAACATTGAATTGCCAAGAGAGTGAGTAACCGTTTTTGTAACCGTTGGGCTAATTGACATTAAATATATCACAAAAGTAATGTTCCTAAGTATATTTATGGTCATATATAAATTAACTTTAAAGAGACATACGTACTGTCCAGGTACCAACACGCCAAGTTAAGTAGGTACATAAAGTCTCTGATTTACTTATATTTCAAATAATGAAAGTTGAATTGCCACCTTCGTTGAAGAATAAAAAAAACAATGTACCTAAATACCTACTTTTTAACGAAATGTTATCAAAAAGATATTCAACAAAAACGGTTAACAATAAACGGACATATCACAAAAAAACATGGCGTGAATTTATCGCTAATAATTTTTCGAATAAAACGCGTAATCCATGCCTCATAAAATGTTTATAAGACCACCTTGGGATATAAGAATATTCAATTGAATTGAGAATTCATCCTCATTTGGAAGTCGGTCATAAAAGTGCGCAGGTGGGTATACAGCTTTAGGATACCATAAGAGACCTTTTAAACACGATTTTAATGTCGAATTAACTATAAATTCACTTATTAAGAGATATTCAGTAAGGAAATTACGAAATTATTACCTACTTCGAACGATTGCCACGCCATTTTCATGCATTGAGGTTTTCCTACTATTTAATTTTGTAATTATTATGGAAAAACAAGATAAAGTAGGTACGTAACCATCTATTCGAGCATTGGTGGTTTATTGCACTTACGCCATAGAAGTAATTATTCAGTCAACACTTTAACAGTTTAATGAGAAAATCTTGTTTGCAATTCGCATACCTTTACGCCTCAGATATGATTGACATGCCAGAAAATACGTATATCTAAGTACATATTGTTTATTAAGTATGACGGCATCGATAGAGAACCTATATTTGCGTAATATGATGGTGGAAGGAAAAAAAAGGTACTCTGGTAACTTAATTCTAACGGTGGAGGTGGGTGGCGTAATGAAAAAAACTGGTAGAACTCCTGTCTTGATTTATTTTCAATTAGTATTACATATGCACACTTACAACCAAAAACTATGATACTCACTCTAAGCTGGTCTCGATCAGAAAAAAAGGATTGACAACCAGCAAAACACGAACACGCGAAGTCGAATACGAAAAAGTCATAATTTAAAATATTAACGGCCAGCATTGACCATAAACCGTCCTAAGAGTTAACCTACCTATAGCAATGTACTCGGACGTTACAATACTATGTGAATGTATCCTACCTAGTTCAATAAATCAATTCTTTTATACCTCGAAGTTAACGCCGTGAACGTGTCTTTATTTAAAATATTATAATTAAAATTTATATTTATTTTCATAAAATAAATAACCAATAACAGGAAAAAAATTAATACTCGTTAAAATTTTCGAAACTAATCTTCAAGAGCGTAAAAGCACATAACACTTCTTGAAAACAATTTCATTGACTTCTTGACTCCATTGATACGAACGATTAAATGAACGAAAGTTACAATGAAAGCCTTATTGAAATAGATTATGAAATATTTCTGTCAGACATGCAATATCAATTAAGAATCAGCAATTTTTAAATCATTTTTAATGCTTCTAACAAGTGCGTTTTGGATAGAGCAGTAAAGTCAGGCTTCCAGCTATTGCTTCATAAGAAAGGAAAACGCTCATGGCTCGAACCTTTTGGGAAGAGATCTTCGGGCAATTTTCAGGCCTCAGTTGTTGGGTTTTTGTAGGTGTGCCTGTACATTTTGACTATCTTGCATTTTGGCGGCCCTACATAACCTCTCCAACCCGCGCTAAAGGAGGCTAGGGGTGCATTTATGAATTTTCCTTCGTCAAAAAAAGAGATTACGGCGTTCAATCTCTCTCTCTTTCTTTCTCTGTCTTTCTATCTACTCATTTATATTAACGGGAAAAGGTTGTATATGTAGAATGATTCGACGGTTAGTTTATAGCTGTCATTTACAGGATATCTTTTATATGTAAACAAGGAAAGTTTGCGCTTAAAGACAGCGATATGTCTTTTACGGCCAGTTGCACTAACGCCCATTAAATTTTTCATTAGTTTAAAGTGACATTACCCATACAAATTTGACATCAATTAGAGCTTAAAGGCGTCATTAAATCCTAATGAACGTTTGTGCAACTGACCGTTAATTATATAAAATTCTAAAATACTTCTTGTTTTCCTTGTCCATATCCCAGTCAATTTAGGGTTGGACCTCCTTGTGTATTCGTACCAGGACATTCATTCCCAGGTAGTCATAAGTGAAAGGTTTTACGCTTTAAAATTCTTATCAATATTCGATCATTATGTAGCAAGCGGTTTAACTCTTCCATTTAGCTGCGTATTTGTATTGAGCACTGTCTTCACAGAGTAGGTAGTAATCTCTTTGGCAATAATATAATATCTGAGCATACCAAAAAAATCTAAAATACGTCGATGAAATGAAATCATTCTGTGGGCAGAGCAAACTTTTTGTTAATCAAAACATGACAGAGAAAACCAATGCAGGGGAAATGCTCCTCAAGCTGTCAAATAAGTGCCCTGAAAAAAATAGGTAGAGTGTGACTGACTTACCTAATAAAACCCGTTGCAGTTTTATCACGTATTCAAAATCATCATTATCAAGTATTTAAAACCTCACGCGGACGAATGAGTCCGATATTTTGCAAGAAGGGCCGCGTTTCAAGAGGGAGCGGAGTCGCCCTCTGCGGGAAGGAAAAGAAAAGAATAAAAGCAATTCTTTCACGTGTTTGATGTATAAACAGTTATGATTCAAATATTGGAATAACAATTCTATAAAATAATGTACAATAAGACGAGTGAGTCGGCGTCGAGCTTCTTGACCTCCGTACATAAATTTAATTCAACTCGTTCCAATAGTTCCTGAGATTATAGAGTTCAACCAAACAAACTCTCCAGCTATATTATTTGTATAATAAAAAAAAACTATAAATTGTCATGTAATTTACAGTATAGAAATGTTTTCTGTTTTCCCACGGGAGGATATTTTGAACTACATTTAAATTCCATACAATGTTAATTTGCATGTTATTATTTAAATGAAAGATAGTAAAATATTTTAGATTTTCACAACAAGGACCTTTACTTGAAATGTATGTTGATTTGTGATATGGCATTTTCAAATTCTTTGTCTTAAAAGAAGCCCCGTGCTTATTATTTATTCAAAATGTCTTTCACGGAAATAAACTAGAAACTAAATTATTAAAAAAACGACTTCGAAAAAACTAAAGAAAAAACAAATATTTTTAAATTAGTTATTGAGTCAAAGACTAATTTATTAAAAAAATTGGACTGCTAAAGATTCCCGTGATTTAGGTATTCTTTCATCTATATTACAATTTTAATCACAAATGGACAAAAGACTAAACAGAATAACAACTGAATGATGATATAAGTATTCCGTTTGTCCCTTTTAGCTACGGAACCCCAAAAATGCATAATATAAATTGAAGCCAGTAACATATTTTTACAAATACTAAAGGAAGAGATAAAACGCTCAAATGTAAAAGCTTTTAGTTGATAAATCCCAATGGAAATCGCGCACTATATAGTGTCCTCTGCAGACGATAAAATATCTTGAGTGCTGTTAAAGCCTTCATAAAATATAAAAGCACCCACGTATACCACACCAGTTTCGGTAACCGATATTTGTTTTACTACTGCGCAAATGGACGTTTTCAATATTAGCAATGATGTCTCATAAAAATAAATATTTATCCATTTATAATAATAATAAAATAATTTCAATGTAGTGCAATACCCTCGATTGCTTTTTCCGTTACATTGAGTTCATCTGTTACCAAAGTGAAAATTTCATCAAAATGCGTGTCAAGTTAGTGTGTTTCTTTACTAGAGACTGATTTTATGAAAATGTTCAGTATAGGTGGTTTTTATAAATCGCGATAGGTGAAATTATGCTACAGAAACACCGAGAGACAACAAATATATACCCGTTAACAATGATGAATGTATTGACAAACAATATCGGTTCATTCTCAACAATGGTTGTAATTTGATACCAATGAATTCTGTTTATTCATTGATGTGTGACGTCAATGAACTTCTACAATATATTTGTACAAAAAATGTAAGGTTTCGGCAACAAATAAACTTTGTTTTATGTCAATACCATATATTTTAATGGTGTTTTCACTAATTAGGTTTATTAGACAATAATGATCTATGATTGATAAGGGTAAGAGCTAATTAGCTAGAATTAAAAAAAACGTCATTTTTATTTCCAGATATCGTTCACCAAGATACGCAGCTAGACGCATTAGAAAGCGAGTCATCTTCAAGCACGGAGACTGCAACGTTGTCCAATGGAACGTGGCGAAGCGCAGGCGCCGATACCTGCAGGATATCTTCACGACCCTCGTGGACGCGCAGTGGCGCTGGACGCTTCTCGTGTTCGCACTCTCCTTCATCCTATCCTGGCTCTTATTTGCCCTCATCTGGTGGCTCATCATCTTCACCCATGGCGACCTAAGCCCCCCTGATAACCAAAACATCACCTTCGTCCCGTGTCTCAACAACGTTAACACTTTCACCGGTTGCTTCCTCTTCTCCGTCGAAACACAACATACCATCGGCTACGGCTCTAGAACCACCAACGAGGAATGCCCTGAAGCCATTTTCGTTATGTGCATACAGAGTATTGTGGGTGTCTTCATTCAAGCTTTCATGGTAAGTTTAAAGTTATTTTATTCTAGTTTTTGTATCTTCAATCAATTTTCTCCGTAGATATTTTATTTTGTTTTCATGTTAAGTACTACTATAAATCATTCGAATACCCTCTTAACTCGTAAATATACACCATCTGTATAAACAACATTAAAACTCAACGTAAACAGATTATTGAATAAATAAAGAACCCTTTAATTTTGTCTATGATAATAGGGACTTCGAAATTGACTATAAACTTACTTCGAAGTTCAATATTATAATTTTGTATTAAAATACATTTGGCATTCAGCCAAGCATATAATAAATCATTCATAGTACAGCCAGATGCCCTCTTAAAAATAATTACCACAGATTAAGAGATATTCATATTCATGATTTTATCCGAGATCAATATTGATAAAAATTATAAAATCCATCTATTTGAGGTGTATGTTATTGATTCATTGATATTTTCAGTGACAGACAATAAATGATATATCGCTGGTAGTCTATCCAAATAATCTTAAGACGGTAAGCAACAAGGTTACTCTAATTTTAGGTGGGAATCGTATTTGCGAAGCTCTCTAGACCAAAAAAACGTGCCCAGACCCTTTTGTACTCCCGAAATGCCGTGATATGCCTGCGAGACGGCCAGTTATGCTTGATGTTCCGAGTTGGAGACATGAGGAAATCCCATATAGTCGAAGCCCATATAAGAGCACAATTAATTCGCCGCAAGGTATATAATTTCGACAAAAAAGGAGACTGGTTAGTGATTGGGGATTTCTGTCAGCACGCTTCCTTACGTCTAAAGTAGAGTTTGTCATCACTCTCTGATCCCAGACTGAATGGGTGTTGAAATCCAGTAGCCAGACTTTCGACACCCGTAAGTTTTGGATGAGCCAATCTCAATACTTCTTTCTCTTGTCCGTAGGTGGGTCTTATATTCGCGAAGCTGGCTCGGGCCAAAAAGCGCAACACCACGCTCTTATTCTCAAGGAACGCGGTGATTTGTTTGAGGGACGGGGAATATTGCCTTCTCTTTCGTGTTGGAGACATTCGCAAATCGCATATTCTTGAAGCCCATGTCCGTGCCCAACTTATTCGAAAAAAGGTAATCTTTAATCCGATTGCCCAAAATGTGTATTTGTAATAATATCTTTGCATTTGTTGTATTATTTTGCATTTTAATTTTTTATGACCCATCTATGGACTCGATGTAGCTTACTTACACGCTTGTTTTGTTTGTTTGCTTTCTAACATTTTCTCGACATTTCTTTTGTTTATCAGTAGCAAAACTGCATGAGATTAACAAATATAAACATATTTCTTTCATATGCACAGTCTATAATTATGAAACTGCAAAGACTTGCAATTTCCACAGACTACATCTAGTCAGTCAAAATCGGCAAGATCTTATTTGCACTATGGCAGAGTGTGGAAGTTGTTAGACATTTTAGTTCCACAATTATAGCAATAACGTCGCAAGCTAACGCCTGATTCTATGAAATGCATGCACTGATCATAGAGCTAAAATTTCAAATTCAAATCCTGAATTTAAAACAAAGAGAATATTTTTTACCACATAAGTAACCATTATAAGAAAAATCTTATTTGTAATTAAGATCACTGCATTGCATTTTTCATGCTGACTTTTTTACTCTGAGTAAAAAATAACGTTAAAAAAAAATACTTTTATATAAGTTTTGTGCAAATTATGTAAACAGTTCAATTGATAACATATTACGTGTTTAATAATCAATTCAAATCCTACTGTTGATAATATTGCGCATAGTATTAGTGGAATATTATTATTATAGCTCACGTGTTCTATGTCATACGCGAGTCACATTTAATTCTACATTATCGTACGAGTTCTGGAACTAATCAAATCATATGGAACGATGATTCAGCCGACTCAATGTAATCCGTATAGAGTTAGCATTAAAGTTCTTATAAGCCACTTCAGGCTAAAAAAAAAGAAGTTTCTAAATTCAATTTTTAAATTTAAAAGTTTTTTTTTTTTAATTAAAACCGACTTCCATAAAGTGAAAATAAATGTTCAAGACCTCAAAAGAGTTTCATATGCTCTAGAAACACCTGTTGAATTAAAAAAATATATATAATTTATTATTTGGAAGAATGTTCCAGTTACTTCATTATAAATTCAAACTGCTAATCCGATTTCGATATTTTCTGGGAAAATCGCCCCATACAAACCCATCAAGTTCATAAGCTTTTGAATAAAAGCTGAATAATGAAACGATTCACAGAGATATAGTTAAGCATGCATAAAAACATTATAATCCCTTTGAATAAAACCTTTTTTATTTTTAAGTCGTATAATATAAACCTAAAATATTACCTTCTATAAATGTACCTAAACCTAAATAGATAACCCATTTTTATAGAAAGTTGGGAAGCAAATTCATTCCTTTAAATTATTGTAAAAATATCTAAAAGGTGTGTAGACTTTTAAGTTATTTTTACAATAATTCGTATCATTAACGTTATGATAAGTAATAATTATATTATAATAACAGTCTTCGATAAGTGTGATGCATGTTTATTGATGTTTGCTTTCGTTAATGCTTGCTTAAGTTAATCATTATGTTTGAATATTCTAGAAGCTTTTTTCTTTGTATTGGTTGTAAATACAGACATTATTTTTACTACACCGTAGTTACAACCATGTCGTAGTTTGTTTATTCATAATGTAGTAAAAAATTTATGCATCTTTAAAAATTAGTGATCGTAAAGTAATTTTGATTGCATTTTAAGTGCTAGTTGTTATTGATGTTAACAGTATTATCTAATTTTTTTTGTTTATATAAACTACATGATGTTGTTGATCTGGAAAGGGAAATCTATGTAGGTGACAGGGAAATTAGCAATAATCAGCTTAATATTAACGGTGGTAGTATTTTGTATGTTGCGCAAAAACTCTGCTCAAATTCTATGAGATAAAATATAAGCATGGTTATAAAGCCCAGCATCTACATCACGAGGCTGCTTCGCGAGGCGTAACCTCGTAATATGGATACTTATTTGCCTCGCGTGGCTTTTGACTACTGCTGAAACAAGCAGCTTAGCAAGCAGCTCTGCTATGATACACATGCTTTAATATATACGTTTACCCAAACTTTAGATCACACGTGAGGGTGAAATACTACCCTTCTACCAACAAGAGCTGAAAGTGGGCGCCGACGGTGAGGAAGACCGGCTCATGTTCATCTGGCCTATGACTATCGTGCACAAGATCAACGAGAAATCACCCCTATATAACCTCTCCGCTTCTGATATGCTCCGTGAGCGATTCGAGATCGTCGTCATGTTAGGTAAGTTCTTTTTGTTTTGAGTAACGCCGTACATGCATTTGATCATTAAAATGGGGGGGAGATACAGAAGTATAATTGATTAGGTATTTTTTAGTTTAAACCACGTTCTTAACCGTATATTCTGAAAGTTTCTATAGAAATATGAACGAGTTTCAAATATAGGTATATATTTTTGGAAACACTTCACTGAATTAACATAAATAAAATAAAAAAATAAATATTTTGTTTACAAAAGTTGCTTCATCTAATCACCGAAGGTTTAACATTGTTAGTTGTTTAATATTCTAAGGAAAATATAACTCGATTTCGTTCGCAATGACCATGATAGGCTAATAATACACAGACATATTAAAGCAAGGAAACTGTTGAAAGGGAAAATTTATTGAGGTATCTACAAACTTTAGTGGTAGCTGTCTACTAATATATAAATAAATATGAGACAACATATATACTATTGCTCAGATTCCAAATTAATATAGATATATGATATTCCTATCTACACAAATAACTATACAAATAAGTGAATTGGTTTATAGGAATATATCTTATCATATGTTTCGTAAGCAGATTTGTTACATCATAAACTTATAAATCTTATATAAGATAAAAAACTTAATCATACCACCGCACTATTAACATAGTTATAACAAAAGCGGTCCCTTTGTAATTAAACTTTCAAATATAAGACAACGTGAAGTTTTGACATTAAAATTTCCCTTCATAGGTATTAACTGAGAATTCCAATTTTAGCTTGGGTTTTTATTCGCTCAATACCTCGAATGTTTGTCACTTTAACAAGCCAAAACTTTTTTCTGTCGAATCTCAGAATTTTTAAAAGCAATTTGGATGCTATACTCGGCAACAAGAGTGTGGACGATGACGTCACGTCTGATAACGTACGATTCGGCCACATGTCGTTGGCACTTCCTTGACATCGGCTTGGTAGTTTGCCCTGAACTTCACTTTGAAACATACGACATTGTATGTATATATAAATGGAAGATTTATAATGGGTTTCTGATGCTAAAAATAATGTTAATACCGTTGCTTTAGATTTATTAACGGTTATATTGAAAACGGTAAACGGCCTTTGTGTGAATAAAACATATAAATTAAAAAAGGTAACGCTGCTCACTAAATATTACAATAGACAGTCACATGTTGTGAGGAATATTGCAGCTTTGAGTCTGTAATAGATTTTTTAAATTGAAATGATTATTATATAATATAATTCAAATTCAAATATGAAATTTATTCAACTCAGTCATAGTTCCTATAAGTTTTTCTAAATCCCGAAACTGAATTTAGAAAAATTTTCAAAACCCAATACAAATAATTTAAACTATAACCAAGTATTAAACAGATATTAATGTCTAAGTAGTAAAGAGGTATGAAAGCTAAAATATTTTTTAATAACGAAATGTGCTTACAATGGTTTTCAGAGGGCGTTATTGAGTCTACCGGTATGACTACACAGGCTCGCAGCAGCTTTCTACCATCAGAGATCCTTTGGGGTCACAGGTTCGAGACCATGGTCACATTCAGAAAAGACACCGGGGAATACGAGGTAAAGATAAAATTAATCTTAATTGACGACATTTTCAATAAAAAAATTAAAGGTATATTTATCCAATGGTGAATCTTGAGTCAGATGAGGGTTCGGAACAAATACTTTAAAAAACCATAGACTTCTTGTAGATTTTTTTCTAATGTATATAGACAAAGCACTGTATATTTCCAAAAAAAAGATAAGTAGTTTCAGACATAAGGAATCATCAGTTTTCTTAAATAATTTTGTAAATATATATGCAGCTTTAAACGAAAATTATTATATTTCAGATTGTTTCAATATGCTCTTTTATTTGATCAGCATCAAATCAAATCAGTCAGTACTGACTCAGATATTTAGAATCATCACCATCTACCGGCCATATGGCCTAATCGTCTTATTTTAAAATTTATCACAATCACTTAGAATGTGACATTTGAAAGATATTTACAAACTTAACGCTATAACTATTTGACATGTGATAAAAATTGCGATCGCGCCATTTTTTTGAAAGATATTAAATAACGATAAACTTTTATATGACGTTAAACTCAATTCTCTCAACAAAGTGATAGTTACAAATATTCTTGAAATAATATTTAAAGCTTTGGGAGCTATTGGGAAATCCTGTGACACAATTCCTTAAATCATTATCATAACAGGTATAAGTTTGAAAGGGACTGTGATAGATTTTAAAATTCCTTACCAGACCAGACGCTTTCCTTTCAATTTCTTTGTTATTAATGCCAATTTCAAACTCCCTATTCGTTCTATATTCTTACTCAGTCTCATCAATAACCATATCATTTCAACATTCACATCTCAGCTGCATATAAGTTTCTTTCATTCGTATTCTTCATATGTCAACGTTCTGTTCCATACATTATGACTTCGACGATTAAACGAATTTGTATATTTTGCATAAAAAAATTTTGGTGGAATTTAGTACACCAAATTTCAAATCAACCAGTCCGGACACATGAATATTATTATACGAGTGCCGTTATTTTACTATTTAGATATAGAAACCTAAAAACTGAAAGGGAAAAAGATTATAAAATTGTATTCAGTCAAGTGATGGATGATCTGATCGTGTATAACAAAAACTTGTAGGAACAAAATAAATATTGCATGATAGTTATAAGAAACGGTTTCGTTGTGAACGCAAAAACAAACTTAATCTGCATATTTGTTAACAAGTCACGGCAAACATATTGCTTCTATGAAGTCATATTTTAATGAGGCAAAAATCAGAATAAAATGTGATAATGATTCTAAGAATCGAAGACTTGTCTTGTTTTATGTACGAACAAAAACTTTTTTGAATTTCTTATTCATTATCCCCGTAACTAAAGTAACGGTGGTTAATAAATATATTAATAAGAATTTAAAAAGCTATGTTGCTCAGTTAATTCAAAATCATAGTCCTATAATTGTTATATCAAAATGTAATGGGTGTATGTCGCTATAACATAAAAGTAGTCAACAGATTTTTTACATCGGCTGACATGGACCGTAAATAAATACATTATAATAGTACAAAAATATGAATATTTAAATAATCTTCCTAGTTATTTATTTGAAGTGAATAAGTCTTTATGGCGTTAAAAAGCACATCCATTGCAAAGTATGTTATCACTTTTCCTTACGAGAAACTGCTCTTAACATATTCCGTTGAAATATGAAAACCGTTACCTTGGAACTGAATGAAGATATCAATAAACAACATGTTTTCAATACAGTAATGGCACGATTATTTTATTATTTAATTTAAATAAATAAACACAGTAAAATTCCTTTGTTTACCTGAAGATAACACGTTTATTTGAGAGCGAATCAAGGTTCACTGGTACATTTTTAAATCCGAACTTGGTGAACATTCCTTTTTTCTTATAGAAATACTAGCTGTATCCCGCGACTTCGTCCGCGTAAATTATAGGCTATGTCACTCGCATACGAATTTTAAAAATAGTTTCGGTCCCTATTCATTTCAAACAATCAAATTTTTTTCTTTTTGTATGTTCGTTCAGTTTAGTGTATTTAGACATCAACTTTTTAAATTACAAATTAATTTATTCGATTCGTTATATTATGTTTTTAAAGGTTGACTACACAAGATTCAACAACACATATGAAGTGGACACACCATTGTGTTCTGCTAAACAACTGGACGAACTTCGAGCTTCAGTTTCAACATCCCAAAAATTAGGTAAGGAAATATTATCCGGCCCATTTTCTTGATGAATTCGATTCTAGACACCATTCTTTTCGATTGGTAAAATATTAGTTAATGTTCTTTGCTAACTAAATAAATAATAAATAGTAAATCTTAAATAAATTTATTCTGCTAATTACCTTCTGTACGATTATTCCAGATAAAATCTTAGGCACAATACCAAAGACGTTCTCCAACGAGACTTTAGATCTCAGCTCTGTAGACTCAATGTCTCTTGATGAACACATCGAAATCAAAATCCCAGAAGCTAGAGCTAGAGAGAACCGCTTGATGGCGCAGACCAACTTCGTCCAACACGTCAACGAGAGACCCAGAAATATGAGTCAAAATCATTTAGCTGTAGAAAATGGTCTCGACATACCAAGGAACCATTTGCCTTTAGATACTAAGAATCCAGAAGTTAAACATGAAACTAAAGAGCCACATATGCATAGAAGCGCTAGCCATGCTAGTATGAAGAGGGTCCATGGTCTCACGCCGAATGGAATTGGCCACGCTGCTCACGGCCAAGACCACAAAACAGATGATAAAAGTAAAATAAACAAGTGAGTATTGTAAAATAATTAATTGGTGGTGATTTTGAGATATAATACCTTTAGAGTTTTATTACTAGTATCTTAAATTGAGGATTTTTTTATCATTAATAATATCCATATTATAAAAGATCAAAAAATTTTGACCCAACTTTTTATTTAGTGAAACAGATCATTTTTGAAAACTTAAATAAACCTCTTTAAGAATATAATATTTTACGATAAATGCATATGGATATTTTCTACAATGAGAAAATAATCTTCAAGCACAATTTTTGGCAGTCAAACAATAATCAGTTTTACTCAAAGGTTTACCATTTTTACAGAACTTCGAACTCAAAATCATCACTACATATGTATATTAGATTAAGATTCTTTGACTATATCTTTTGATTAATCATCGACTGTTTCATTAGGGTTCATATTATTAAAATATTTCACTTTAGTGTGTCATATACCGGAGTTTAATCCCATGAAATATTTTTAGGAATGTCGTTGAGTAATACTATACAATTTTCTGTAATGAATTGCCTTATTATTATTGTCCGTACTAACCGAATGAACATTTTCTAGGACTTTTTTAGAGAAGCTCGTGATGCCGCTACTGAGTAAAGGGTACCTTAAACTCCCGCAATTTTCACCATTACACCATTTGGCATCAGGACGCTATAAGGCAATTGATAATGGTAATAACCCACTCAAGTGTAGGAAAGGAGTCCTAATTTCTTTTTTATTATCAGTGATTTATTCAAACTGGTTAATGGCTCTGACTTAGTTTTAGGTATCACAAAAACTCTTTCAGTATCTTTATTTCTTTGATACCAAAAGTACAGACTTGACGATATGTTAGGTCTATTACTCTACTCTTGAATCTCGATTAGCGTATGATGAAATATTTGCCAGTAATATCAAAATTATTAACACCTTTAAAATTAGTAATATGAGAGACAATAATGATAAAACTGTTCATTGTTCAAAGGTCCCCAAGCACGAATCATATAGCAGAGAAGCAAGTTATACCCATTTTGGTGACATCAGCTGATTCAGAGCCCGCTTGACGAATACTATATGACCCCACAACTGACAAGCGAGAAAGAGATGGTATACGAACTGTTATGAAAGAAGAGAGAAACAATAATAACAATTTGCACGTCAGATTTTATATCAGCAATAGTAGCGAAAATTTTCACGAGTTCCTGCGAGTTGGCGATAGACTATAGTACAATTTATAAGACACAAGTCAAAGTACTTGTGTTTAATTTATTTGTTGAAATTATGATCAGTAACTTATTTTAGGTACAAAATATTTTCATATTTTTTAACTATCCGAGATTCAGGATTTTTATTTTAATTGTTATACTTATTTCAATTGTGAAGAGTTATGATAATTGATTGGTCGTAATATTCTTAATATTGTACTTATTTATAAAAGTCTCTGTGGATCAAAACTACCTATATAGACTGTTCCAGTAACTTTAAAATAAATTATAGTTAAGTGCTTCGAAATGCTGTCACTTATACCAAATTGTTAATTAGGATGAATAATTTATTAATAAGTCTTGAAAAGACTCAAAATTGGTTATGATTCTGGTTACGAATGACGATAATATTGTCTTGCCATTAAGTATCTTTTTTTCTATGAAACTAGTCTTTGATATCATATATTGTATTTGCTGAAATGATGCTACATTCATACAAGAGCAACCGACTAACTTTCACGCTATAAACTCTAGGTATAGCTATAAAAAACATTTTATTGATTGTGAAACGTAACATAATTTAAAAACAACAATAATCAAGACTATTGATAAAATATGTAAATAAGAACATAAAAAAGAATATAACCACATTCATCGATAAAAACGTTTTTTATAGCAAGAGCTAGAGTAAGGCTGTAGCAATAATTAGAAAATTCGTATTGGTTTATCAACTTACCGATAGATGGCAGTAACCATCTTTATCAATATATAAATGTATTAGCAACTCGTCGATAGATGTCATTTACTTCCAAAAATGCTTCATATAGCTATGTACCAGATAGGACTGTATTTAGTTGAAATATTTATTTAGTCGAATTATGTTTAAATATTGTAATCAATTTAGACAAAATGTGTTATCAAACAAATGGATTCTTGAAATATTCGGTCCTTATTGAATTCGCATAGTTTTCTTTTAAATTAGAATTGATAGGATCGAATGAAAACTTCTTTATACAATCTAAACTTGTTTCAGCGAAATAGATTATAATAACAAGATCCATTTCTGTACTTTAAAAAAATTCTAAGAAAATTTTCTGTAGTCTGTTTCTAAAGCAGACGAAAAACACGGACACCAACACACATATTATGTGAGCGTCGAAAGAAAACGATATGTCTCGCTATCCATAGACATCTGTATCGTTTCCGCATAAAATTGTTTTATTGTACGGGACGCTAAAGGTCGTTAAAACCAGCCCATACAACTTTACTACTCAGATATACTAAAGAAATGTATGGTAGCGACACATCGATTTTTTTATGCTTATTTGCTCGTCTCCGTTTTAACTATAGTTAGTTCTAACTGTTAGGATGATAATAGTAGACAATCAGAACCTTTTAAAATTTTCAGAAAAGAAAATTATTAATGCTTATTATGTCCAGAATCCAATTGTTTTCACCGCCATGATCGCCACAAAAGGTTTGTTAGTATCTTTTCTCTACTAGAATCCTAATTGAATTACGTGTTACTATGATTTATCTTAGATTTTATCCAAAAAAAGACCTCTGGTTAATGAGTTATCTAATTATTTGAATCGGAGTTTTAGAAGCATATAATTCATTAATAAGCTGTACAGAATTTTGACGTGAATATTACTCCAGTTCCTTATAAGTTAAGTACTGTAAGAGTATGCAGATACAATATTCCTCGTTTTAACAACAAACACCTCATTATTTATTAGGAAATATACCATAAATAATTTGTGTCGTACGGTAGATTTACAATGAATTATACTGCAACTTTAAGTTCTTGCACTGGTGATCTGTCATATAAAGATAATTATTACCTGTTGTTGTTTACTTGAGTATACCATATGAATATATGAAAAGAGCATTCAGCGATACAGATCAAGGTGATTAAAGTACGAGGAAAACCTGTGAAACTTTCTGGTTCGGTGAGCATAGATATGGGTGTCCGAAGAGTCCTTAGCACGGCAAATATGCCCCAGCAGAATTAAAAATTAATTATGATAATATAAATTCTAACACCATTTTATATGTAGTACAAGTAAATGAACCAACATGTATTACCTTTTTTTTATTGATTAAATGCTCGATGTCCTAAGGGTACGTGAATCTGCCAAGTTAGGAAACCCATTTCTAGAGCTCTTTCTATTTGGACAGCTTAGAAGGAACTATATCAATAACAACTTTAGATATATAGTTAAATAGAATTTCTGTTTTGATTACTTTGTATTACCGGTATATTAATTTTATTCCATTTATTGTGTCTCTATTTTGTGTCTATGAGTTGTAAGGGAACAAATTCTTTAACATTATTAGATAATTACAAAGTATTCTGAGTTCAATATGTACAATTAATTATTGAAATTAATTTTCAATAATATTTAGTATAATTTCTAATAATTGGATCAAATCCAGTATCAATGGTGCAAATTATCGAAAGTATTTAAAAAGTCTATCTGTCTGTAATTTTTTAATTTGAGCGTTGTGAATGTATGTACTTACTTAGTAACATAAATGGAAGGTGCCTACGGTGTGTCACAGATGTTGCTCCTTAAAATGACATGTAGCTTGTTTTGGAAAGTATATTGATAAATATGTTATTGAGCAATCGAGTCTAAAAGAAATTTATGTGCCAGTGTTACAATATACTTAAATATGTTTACCTATTTAATATATAAAAAACTATCTTTATAGGTATTTAAAAAAAAACAACTGAATTGTATGAAAGCAGAATTTAATATGTACAACAAACGATGTGATAACTTAAAAAATAAGTCAAAACAAAGTATTATTCGGCTTCCAATTAAATATAGGCACTTTGTTACGCTTAAGATTAATATTTTTTTAATAAAAGAAAATAAATACATTAAGTGTTAGTGTTTCTAATGCTTGTTACATGTACACAATATTTTAATATGATCATTTTTATTCTGTAGAATAATATTAATGTTTTTATAAATATTGTTCTATTCTATAGTCTGGGGTGAATAGTCAGGGGTCCTATGTAGCAGCGCGGGCGCTGCCATACCTACATAATGCTTTGTATTTGCCTGATAGCTAGTATGATAATAAATATTATCACTTAATATAAAAACAAGACTTTTATTTCACACTTAAAACATACCTACTTACAGGTTAACCTTGTTGAGAAGTATAATCATATTTGTTCTATACACCGTTCATGAAACTATAGACTAGATAATTAAACGTAACACTTTTATTTGTAGTTCTTCTATTCGCCGAAAGATGGCGTTAATACCTTTTTTATATATTATATCTACAGTAAATTAGTAATCCATAAATCCTCTGAGATGGATCGGTTAAGTCATACATTATTACAAATATGATAATTACATAACAGAATTAAGTTTCTAATTCTGTAATCTTCTTGGAGTTTCTTTTGTTTTCTTTGGTTTCATCCTCACTTGATGACGATGACTGTTCAGGTCCATTGAAATAGTCCGGTGGATATTTCACTACGGCTGGCCTGGCACTGATGCTGGTGCGTCTGAGAGCGTCTACTACCAGTCTATCAGCTATACGCGCCAATGGTGAGCTCTCTTGAGACTCACTGTTCACCGAATGACGGAGTATGATCGGAGAATTAGGCATGAGATATCCTGAAAATCAATTGATTGTGTTAATTATGATGTGTTCATAAATCTACAAATAGTTTTAAACCTACCTATTATTGCCAAATTTAGAGTTGCTCTTAAAAGTAAAGAGTTTCTGGCATATATACTTAACCGAACCGTCAAGGAGTTGAAAGGTCTAACACCTATGTTAAGCTTACATACGACATTTTCTAAGTTAAGCAAGTATTTTATTATGTGCAATATTTTTTTTAATTGATACACTTTGTAAATTATGCATTTACATAGGGTATTAAAATCAGGATATGCCGAAATGAAGAAGTATTTAAAAAAAAGAACATAAGTTCTCGAAATCAAACTAGATGTTGCTACAGTACGTTCTTGATTTCTCCATGACAACCCTTCCGGTTTCTTTTATATTTAAAAGTGAATTATTTTTTAACTCAATAAACAACTCATATTCTATTGGTACTTTTCTGTATTTGTATTGATATCTAAGTTTCGAACTTTTCAAATTTCAGTTTTTCAATATGTTAGTTAAAAGGAACGGAAATGACTGTCTTTAGTTCATTCGTTTTCTGCAAAAATCAACTTTTGTTAGAGTCGCCATCTAGCGGAGAAGCTTTTTTGGTGCTTTCGTTGTTTTTAATACTTCCTCATTCATATTCAGATTTTTATTCGGACTCTTGGCAACACTATCAAATAATTATGCGATAAATGACTAACAGCGGGTTTGTGAATAGAGAAAGTATAAATATTATTTTATTAATACAATTTAGTATTACATTTGTTAGATATTTAAGATACCTAATGTTATGAAACGAGATATAAAATGAACTAAAAGATGATAAATCAAATTTAATAATTTATTTACATTAAACAAAAAACTAAAATAAAAGGGACGAGGTGATTAGTGAGGTGAAAAGTGTAGAAGTGTGAGTGGGAGTGTCAGTGTAGGTGAAGGGGCGTGGGTCAGCGGTGAAGTTCCGTTGATGAAGTACTTCAGCAGTCTTGAGGGGCGTCTGGATCCCGAGCGTAAAATCGGCGAGGCGTAGTCTCTCGATGCGTCGAACAGGAGGTTCTTCGGCAGCCAAGAACTGAGAGCGTAAATCGGTGAGGAGTAGTCTCGATGCGTCGAACAGGAGAATCTCCGGCAGCCAAGAGCCGAGAGCGTAAATCAGCGAGGCGTAGTCTCGATGCGTCGAACAGGGGATTCTTCGGCAGCCCAGAACTGAGCAGCAGCTCGGGTCTAAGGTGTATACTCGCAGACAGCCTCCAGGAGTGAAGTAGCGAAGGAGGTTATAGTGGAGTATTGATTTGTTGTCGTCTAGTTAAAGCCAGAAAGATGTCATGCGACTTTGAGACCGTAACTTTGAAGAGTTCCCGGGGCCGACTGCCCCTTAAATAGGCCTTTTAAGAATTTAGCTAGCTCTGTACGAGCTCCAAAAAGCTAACTTGGCAACTGTTGCCGTTGAAGTGATGAAGAACTATTTGAGCGAGGCTATTTATACCTGAAGACGAACTCAAATTTAGAAGTAAATGATTTCAAATTAGAACCCTAAAAATTCAAAAACTACAGAGTTTCAATGCCTAAAACTGACAAACAATGAGTCAATTTTCATGAAGAGTATCAAATATAACCATAGCAACGAAGAAAAACTTTGATGTCAATTCTGTCAAAACAATTAAAATTAGCGATAATTTGTGTTATAATACATAAATAAGTGTTTTAATATGATTAGAATTGGTAAAATGTATAAAGAAAAACTATGAAAAGCACAGGTAAGGGTTCACATTAGTATAAGTAGACAAAAACATAGGATGAAAGTTCGTAAAGGTTTGGATAAGTTTATATTACAGAATTTTAATGGTTACAGATATAAAATTGAAGGTCCATTGTTATAGAATGAAGAAAGTAAAGAATATAAATGCAAAACACTAAAAAGTTTATCGATATGAATGAAATGAGTGATATAAATCTAAGGAATGAAAACGATACGAAAGGTTAGTTACGACACTAATTCTTAATCGAATAAAAATTACGATATTCTATATTGATATATCGCAATTTTCGCAGATCATAAAAAGTTAAACAATATGTAATTTTTTTCTCAGGGATGACTCTATTTATTACATCTATTCGTGCGGAAACCTTTAAAATGCATTTAAACCAATTATGTTTATCTGATTTATCATTGTAATGCGATTTCATATTTCTTGCCCGATACTAAGTGCACCTACTGATAAGTAAAGATGACTTTATCGGATTCATTGACAAGTAGCTATATTGAAGTGGTTTGTTGTTTCATTATCTTGTTTTTATTATTATATCATTATTTAATATTAACTATTACTTATTAAGTTATTTAACCTTAATTTATAATTTTCATTGTTACTCTCCGTTTGAGGTGCTGTATTCTATATCACACGCGCGGTACTCTCATTTGTAAGCTTTAAAGTTGCACAACTTATCCATGTTTTATTTCTGACTACATTATTAATTGCAATCAAAATCTCTCCAAAAACGTTAAAGTAATAAAATCATTTCAATCTAAACAACATTGCTTGTGCATTTCTAGTAATGTATTACGCAGTTATTTGTTTTTCATTTGATAATATATTAGTTGTTAAAAGAGGTATTACTTACTGCATCAAATGAATGGAGGATCTTGCGACGTACATCGACGATACTGGACGATTACAGCACGGCACAATATTAGCAACACCCACAAAAGCAGCGACCAAAACAAACACGTAGAAATCTTAAAATTCTGCATTAAATCATAATATTTCCTACTACTATTAAACTTAGATCATTACCCAATCTTTTTGTAAAAGTTTTTTTATGAAAGTAGCCATCATATTTTTATTAACATGCCGGGCCAATTTTCAAACGCAACTTTGTTTAAATCTACAATCGTCTAATTCATATCTAGCTGTTACAACGTTTTGTCGTTTTTATCAATGAATTTATTTAAATGCTTTTATTTCGATTTGTTTTATATTATTATTAATTATTATTTGGTGATTGTAGGTTAAAAGGTTAAAATGTTCAGTCGACAACACGTAAGGCTACTATTACTACAAATTGATAAAATTCTCTGATCGATTTGAAGTTAATTGAATTCAAAATTTGAGATATTTTGTAGTGACCATGTTACCGACTATGCATATAATATATGGTATCAGTATATTTCTATTCTCCTTAAGTAAATCAAACACAAATAAACGTCACAACACAAATAATTTTAATATTTACATACTCATTACCTCTTTAGGTTAACATTCACTATTATTTGTGACCATCAATCTTATTACAATATTTGATGAAATTCATAACAACAGATTAAAATCGTATATAATTTTAGTCCTACCTATTCAATGAAAGCATTTATTAAACAAGATTCAATCATTTATTATTATTACAATTTATTTGCACAACCTTTTATATTAAATTGCTTACATAATAAATAATATGGAATGTTTAAGAATTTCTAATAAATAGAGTTTATTAAATAAATTGTTCAATTTTACCTGACTAGTTTGGAATAAAGTAGTATCTACATAAACAATATATTAGCAGTGGAGAGATTTAAAATATTTAGAACTTTAGATTCAATCACTGCAACATTTATATTTTCTTTTAATCAGAGAACGGTTAATTTAGTAGGATACAGTTAAATTTATAAGAAAGGAAGGAAAGAAGGTCAAAAATAAGGATTTTCTAGACTAGACACTATTAGACGATGTCTAACCTTAGTACTAGGTTTAAACCATTATTCAACCAAAATGACAACACGTATCACGTAAAATGAACGTTTTCTCTTATGTCATTGTCCTTTTAAAGTCTTTTTTAACATCGAGCTATTGCATTTTAATTATTGGTATTTGGTTTTATTATATAGGAAAAATATTACCAATGTACAATATGTCCTTCAATATATGTTGTTACTTTTAAGCATTTCAAACAAAATGGAATCATTTAATTTATTTACATTTAAAACATATGTAATGTTTTTTTTGGGAAAATAATTACACTACTTAATATTAACATGTTATTTTATAATTTTTACCTATAAAAAAAGGTACGATTAAAAACATTCAGATCTGTTAGATTTCATACAATTCTCTTGGCGTTTAGCATATTATGGAGGATGTATGGCAATGTTATATACTATCACTTATTTTTACTTTCATTTTAAGTTTACAATTATGTATTGAAATATTGTTCAGGAAGAGAATTTTTAAGGTGAATAGCCACTGTGTCTTCACGCACACAATACATTTTCCATAGCTTTGTATGGAATTGTATGCTATACAAATCCGTCCACAATCCGTACTGGCCGCTTTTTATGAGCATAGTAATTGGGAAACGTACCCATGATGTCATATGGATTACTTTCATAGAGCGACGTTATGTCAAAACTGTCTAATTGTACTTCTATTAAAAATCCGGATCAGCGAATCCTTAAAATTTGTTACATACGTGCGCACACAATGGATATTCACCTTTAAAAGTAAGTAGACGTTAGCAAGAAGTTTTGTGAACTTTAAATAGAGTTAACTGACTTCTAAATGTACATAGTACGTGAGCTTGAGAAACGTAAGTTTTAAACCAGTTCACGATCTAAACAATGTTGTGTGTTTTTTGTTAAATTTAGTTCCCTGCTGTTCCAACCCTGCGATTCTATAAGAGTCCAGACTGGAATTCGAATTCACGTCATTTAGTGTAGAAATTCTATTGATTCCATTATTTGTATAAAAATACAAAAAGAATTGATTCAATATTCGCGTATCAGATATTCTATTCCTATGTCATTTCGAAACTTACTTCACTTATGCAACGAAACATTATTACCAATTAAAAGTGGAACGGAAGTCGCTTTTTGAAATGAATTCGAATACGGTTTTAGATTTTTTACAGAATGGCAGGGCAGGTGCTTACTGAAAAAAAAGCAACGAATTAAAAGTGGCACAAAGTACAACTTTATTAATTTAGTTGAACATCGAAATAAAAGACAAAATATTGAATTTCTAGAAAAAAACTTCCTTACTCATAGTTAGATATATTATCAGGTTTAAAACATTTAGCATCTGACTAAATTTATGTGAAAGCTTATCTCATTTGTCAAACTCACGTAACACATTAAATGGTCAAATGTTTTTTACAACGTAACAGTAAAATCGCCATCTTTCTGGTCAGCTTTGGCATCCGTCGTTGTCCTTTCAGGCATCTTCAATACTAATGGCTGGTGATCCGTACTCTCTGTGACACATCACAAACACAAAAACCGATTACAACACTACTTACTAATAAATTATAAAATATTTATATATATAAACACCCTTTAATACCTTACTAAATAAATACATACGTTCGGTTAGTGACTGTGAAAGCTCTGATTGTTTATGTGAGGGTTTAGTACCAGTTTAATGAGTTAAAACTTGAATTCTTGGATAAGGGTGCTTTGCTCGGTATTTTTTGTGGTAAATGAAACCTAGCTAGACTGATTTATCGGCTCCCTAAATCCGTTATATACCAAATTTAGTGAAAATCGTTGGAATTGTATAAAAGTTCTTAAGATCAATGCTCAACAACAGGGGATATTCCATATATGTAATTTACAATTAAAAAAAAAGTGTTGTAATAAGCACATCATCATTATGTCTTAATCATAACATTTGGAAAACTTAATGGTATATTCATCAAACAATAAATGTAATGGTATAAATTTTATATTATTTGAAATCGTGAATAGTTAATTCCATTTACAAAAGATCGCAATTTAAAACTTTTTGTATAACTCCGTCTTCTTAACAACCTACAAATACAATATTATAATTAAAAAACAATTAGAATTATTTAATGAATTTATCCACGTTACTTTTCGCTTGTAGAGCAGTCGCCCGGATTGATTGTTGTGGGTTCGAGTCCCATCTCACCTACCTGGGACTGGAAAAATGTGTTATAAATACATTTTTCATTAAAAATATTTATGAGTATAGCATTGTGAATGGAAAATTGATGAAATATAATAACAATAATATATATTGTTGTAATTGTGGTTACCTAGAATTTCACTATAGTTAAGATTTTCCTAGATAAATGAATGTTATTTTGTAAATAGGTAATAATATTTGCCACGATCTATATCTAAACATGACATTTTAAAGTACTATCTAATCATAAATATTATAGAACAAATCAAATTTGTTGTTTATGAATATCTGATTCCACTATATCTCCAGACTGTTAGATGAAATATGTTATAGATTATGCTTCTTAAAGACGATCGTTTCTTATCATCTTATCCTAAAATTTTAAGAATTTCTATATTACTCATTTTACTTATAATAATAGAATATTAAAAAAGCCATGATTTATGATTTGCGTAAATGTTATTAATTATGATAAAGAGCTGATAAATTTCATTCGCTTGTTCTTCTTGTCAGTTAAAAGACGTCCTGAACAAGTGGTAGGGGAAATTTTTTTTAACGATTCAAAAGTGCTTGAAACAAGCTTACTTGAATAAAGATTTGTTTACTGGGGATTTTTCACAATGAAAAATCCCCAGTAAACAATGCAGTTAAAATATTATTTTAGAATATCATATCATAATACGTTGATTGGAATTTTGATATAACCCAAAAGCTTTGCTTAATAATAAATTTCATTTTCATAAAAAGTGTGTTCGCTATATACGAGTACGTATAAGAAAACTAAATAAGTTTACTGCTTTTGATATATTTTATTTTTAATTGTGATGGAAAGTGACTAAATAATACAAAATAAGTAATTAAAAAAACTAAACTTATTAGTGTGAACAACAGCAGGGTGAAAAATGCAACCATTAAAAAAGTCCAAAAACATTGAAAATATGAAAGAAGTTATATACTATAATTAATTATAGGTAGTTAGTAGATCTACGTATCAATCAATGTTTATGTAATAACACCTAACTTGATCTATTATTAATCTTGAGCGACTAGTCATATAAAAATTAGTGTTAAAATATAATTAAGTCTCGTTAACTGGTAAAACGTTGAAATATAAATATTTATACGTATCATTAGGTACTCCCATTTAACACAATCGACACTAATAACTTGCTATGCCAACTTCCAAGTCTAAAACATGCGTGAGTTATTATTATTCATCACCAGCCTTTTAATATCCTATGTATGGAATCGAATCAAATCGAATAGAGAGACTGGGACTTGAGATATCGCTACCTCCGGAGAATAATATGATAACTGCAAAAACCAAAATGTTCAGGAAAAATAAAAAACCGATTTTGTTTAATAACTCTTTTGTTTGAAAAGCTATCCCGAAGAATGATATATCAAATGAAAGCTAATTTTTTTGCGCAACGATGTGAATTATGTTTCGTGGAAAAGCACTTACAAGAATCGAAAGAATCGCAAAAATTAATATTAGCAAAAATCCTTCCTAAAATGTTTTAAAATAATACGCTATTGTCATGTTATTCTAGTAAAATCACACTTAATATGTTTTACAATAATAAACTATTGTCATGTTATTCTGGTAAAATAACCTGAGAAAAAGTATGTGCTAATAGTCGATTAGAATGTTATTCAGGGTAATTAAAAAAAAATATCCAGGGCTAAAAATAATCTTTTAATGAATATAAAACAAAAACTTTTATTTTTATTTAATTATTCATCTAAAGACAAAAACTTCTTATCAAACTATGATTTATTAATTATAATTGGATCAATCATCATGGGACTCATCATGGGAATCAAACTATGGGACTTTTATAACTACGGTAATTCGTCCTCCTCTTCTGATGATAATACTTCTTGATCTGTCGATATCAAAGACGTATAGAATGAATCATAGTGCCGAGGTATAGCCTCACATGAACACAAACTCTTTAAATCATTGTATAAAACTTTAGTTACTGGAATCAGTTTACTGTAAGCACATTTTAAGTCTTCAACATCATAAATTGCAGTCGAAGCTGCTGCAGTTTTTCGACCACGGCCGACTCGTTCCATAACTCTTGATGAAAACTTCTGTGTTGAAAGTGGAATAATCATTATCAAAATCATACTCATAGCGTAAAATTTTTGGTTCGTTGCTTAACACCTTAACTTCCATCACTTTAGACCATAAAATTTTATTGCCTTGTACGTCTCGCACCCAATGTTTTCCCGCAACAAGAACTTTAATGTCATAGAATTGGACTGTTCCATTTCTTTAACTATAAATTTATTGCCGGTAGCCTTTACATTTTGAATTACATTTGATCTGGGGTGTATATCTCTTTCTACGCAAGAGTGCATTCTGTCAGCCTCACTTTGCCCGTGTCCAGTTTTAAAGAATCGATGTGTGATATTTAATTTAAAGTGCAAATATGAATTTATTCTTATTTTGGCCTGCACAATCATCAGAATAAAAGGAAATATGTTCAATGCCAAGAACGTTCATGTTCAGTGTTCAAAAACTGCCACAAGCAACTGCCAATTTCAATTGCTCCTCTTTTTGCTAGTTGATAGTGCCGCACGTAACAGAATCCTTGTCGGAGCACCGAGTTATAGATAGTAAAATTGTAAATTGGATATTTCCTTTTGTAGTGGAATATTTCTACTTGAGATTGTAGTATACTCAACACCTTCTCCAAATAGAAAATTGCAACTGTACTTTTATTATGATCAAGGTTCTTCTTTTCTTCCTCTTTCAGTTTCCAAACTCTTTCTTTGTTTTTTATATATTTATCATAGTCTTCTTGCAACAATTGTTTCTTGTCATCATCAGCTTGTTTATATAATTCACACTTACCGCATAAATCTTTTTTGGGCACAAAAAATGAGTAATTGAACTGAGTATTAAACACAGTTTGGTATTGTCTTAATGTTCCCATCTCTATGTCTTCATCGTAATTTTGATTCTTGAACCAATCTTTATAAAAACGATACATTATTGAAATATTTAAGTATGATGAAAGGTACAGTTTTTGGATTTTTCTCTGACATAATGTGATTCAATTGTGGGGAATAGTTCAATATGTTTCTTTATGCTATCTTCAGTGTACGGTCATGAAAACCATCTGCAGATTGAGCTTTTTATAAAGCAGAATATATAGTTTGATGTATTACATTCAATGTATTTTTGAAAAATAGTCTACATACTTGTAATTTTGTGTTATTTATGGGTAAATAGTATTTTACGCTTTGAATTATATTATTCTTGCGGTCTAATGTAATACGTTTTATAGGTTCTGCTGAAGTGTGTTGCACTATAAATTGCCATTGTCGTTCACGATCTCCTAGTCTATAATACTTTTTTAGCTTAATGTTTAAAACAATATTTTTCTTAGATAATGATGTAATAAGTTTACGTGTGTTTGCGTATTTATTGTTGATAAAACGTAAAAGAAATAAATTGTGACAGATAATCGTAGATGGTTGTAGGTAATTATTAAGTTTCATGAACATACCTAAAAAATTATTACTTACATATAGAAATTTTTTGTCAAACCGGTGGAGAAACCTATCTAAACTGTTGTGTTTGTACAAGAATACCATGCTAATAGCATATATCAATACAATCGCCTGATTTTCTTACGCGAATAACATTATAAAGTAACAATGTCTGCGTAAACAGTTATATTTATATTGCTAATGTATTAAATATTGTTGTTCTAGGCATAAATAAAAAAATTGAATTCGTTGAATATCATGCTAATATTTTGTATCTTTGTAAATACTCGTAGGAAATATCTGGAAAAAATTCACAAGGTGTATTGGACCACGAGGAGCTCAAAAATGCAATAACACTAAAAACATGACAATCGTTTTTGTCATATTATTCTCCGGAGGTAGCGATATCATGCGGGAGCCAACAACTAAAAATTAATAATTTTTTGGTCACCCATCCTTTGACCGGTCAATGCGAAAGTAGCATTAACATTTCACAGACGTAGAGCGCTAAACACTTATTATTCACAGATTCAGAAATAAAATTTGACCTTTAAACGGGATTTTGAGTATGTTTCTTTCGTTTTTCAATCTTTACATAATTTTAAGGTAATGGAGTGGATCCGAAAAATACAAGGGTTACATTATTGTTCTATAAAATTGCTTTCTACAATATTTGTTAGATTATTCATTCACAATGCTATATTGATAATTATCATAAAGAAAATTGAATAAAAATCCACTAGTCCCAGATGCCAAGATGGGATTTCAAACTTAACTTTCGCAATCCAAGCGACTGTTCTAACCAATCGAGCTATTTTCTACTGTAAAATTGAAGACGACATAAGAAACGAAAACATAAGTAAATTTCTTGTTACAATAAAACAATTTGAAGGCAAAAAACAAAAGACGGCTAAAATAGTCAATTTCCGTCTCAAAACATTTTCAGTGTCTTGATTTTACTCAAACAATAATGAGACATCGTCAAATAAATCTACAACAATTTGTACTAAGCACTGACGCTTCTACAAAATCAACGTCAATTGATCATCACAGCGTACGTCGCGAGTCTTGCGATGGTAATACAAATGTTTCCTGTGTCAAAAAGGGGTTTCTACTATACGAAGCAATTTGGCAAAATTGTATGTACATCCTGTTGAGATTTAAAGCATAAAGATGGTGCCATGGAAAAGTGCAAAATAGGAGATACAATTGATTCAATTAATTTATTGCTTCTAAAATGTATTTTGAAATTTTCACGTTAGTTTGATATCACAGCCAATGTTGAACCGCATTTTTACATAAGATTTACTTTTTATCTACCTACATAATTCATTTAAAACATTAAAATACACTTACATGTATGATAACATTTTTGATTTTCTATTATTTAAACTTATCATATGTATTTCGATTATCAAATACTTAAAATTGACGTGATTTGTTGAATACAACAAACTGTTAACTTGAGTGGCATCATACTTATAAACAAGTGCCATGTACTTGCTGTATGTGACACGCTTCGTAAAACATCACGTGAATATTTTAACTAGATACAAATGACTGCAGTTTATACATATACATTTCTTTTTATATATTTACAATAGTTGACAAACTCGATGTCTAAACATACACCTTATTATCGGCATTGCAGACGCAAATCGCCTTTGTTATAAAAAGGTTAGGAAGCCAATGCATGTAATGATAAATTAGCTATTAATAAATTAACTAGTATCTCTAAGTAAACAAGTGGTTTGTTGACCCTAGATTAAAATAGTATGATAAATAGATTCTACATAACTGCAGTCAGTTATGCCAACACCTGTTTTCCCCATAAAAAGGTTTTCTTAAAAACTTAAGTAGGTTTCGAAAATACTTAGTTTTTTATCTATATTAATAGAAAATTTTAGTGATAACAGATAAAAGCACAAATAACACATTAATTAGCCTTTCGCATACATAACCACCCACCACCGGACCGGACTTTAAAAAGAAACTCACCGATGGATCTCCGATCACCCTGGCTTCCATAAAACTCGTCCAATTCTTTCGCAGAACAAAGAGGAGTGTCTACTTGAGTCGTTTCTTCGAATTTCGAATAATCCACTTCGTATCCTTGACGTTCACGATTATATGTCACTAGCGGCACAAATCTGTGTCCCCACATTATTTCACTTGTTGTGTAACTGGAACGGGCTTGTGTTGTCTGACCAGTCGATTCTATCGTTCCCTCTAATATAACTACTATCTCGAATCTCTCTTGAAGGATGTCCGCTGCAGATACCCCGTAGAAAGGACTGTCAGCATTTATTTTATGCACCATAGTGATAGGCCAAATGAAGAACAGGTTGCTGTCACATCCATCCGCGTTTAATTCTAATTCAGTCTGGTAATGCGACAGTACTTCTCCCTCTTTCGTTGTTCGAGATCGGATCAGTTGTGCTCTTACACTAGCTCCGATGATATGTGACTTCCTTAAATCACCCACTCTAAACATCAAACAAAGTTCTCCATCCCTCTGACATATGACGGCATACCTCGAGAATAACAATGTCTGAGTTCTATGTTTTGGCCTTGTCATCTTAGCGAAGACTATACCGACCATGAAAGCCTGTATCATAACACCGACGATACTTTGGAGACACATGATAAATATAGCTTCTGGACATTCTTCTGTTGTCGTACGGGAACCGTAACCGATGGTGTGCTGTGTCTCAATACTGAATAAGAAGCAAGAAGTGAAATCATATATATTAAATACACAAGGCTTCCAATTTGTCGACTCTTGCATATTTGGTAAATGATCGGGTTCCAAATCTCCATGCGTGAATGCTATCAACCACCAAATTAAAGCGAAACCTAACCACGATAAGATAAAAGATAACGTAAACACGAGTAGGGTCCATCGCCACTGTGCGTCGACGAGGGTCGTGAACATATCTTGCAGGAACCTCAGTCGCCTTTGAGAGATTTTCGACTTGAGTATATTGCATTCTCCATTTTTGAGAATAGCTCTCCTTCTCGATCTGCGTGTAACACCATGTCTGTGCGTTCGGCTCCTGTAAATAAGACATATCAATTAACGTTTCGCCTCACCGATCCCACTTATCTAACATATATCCCTATACATATGAATGTTTATTTCACGCTTGCGCTGCGAACTGGCCTTCGTCAATGTTAATGTCGCTAATGTTTACACAGTCGGAAAATGGCTTTCTAATGTAAATCTTTACACTTAACAAGAATGCGAGAACGGACAAAAGCGAAACAGTACGGATGGGAGTCGGTCGGAGACGGCACGAGCTGAGCTTCGACGAACCTCTTGCTGCCAGCAGTGGGGTAGTATATTCCTGGTGATAGGTTGCCGTTGACGGCGACCGGTTTAACTTTGAGCCATTCGTCGGGGAGGAGTTGAGCTTCCTCCCGGCAAACGGGTGACTCTGGGTCGGCGTGCATGGCTCGTGCGCGCGGCTCACTCGCGGCGGACCGTCTGCGGCTTCATTCCGCGACTCTCCTGAAGCACCACTCGAGATAATGACAAGATCACGACTGACGTTGCGCCCGCACAACGAAGCGCTAAACGTTGTATAATTGTATCGCGGAATTCTATCACGAAAATTATCAGCTCCTACGGAAAATAGATTTTTTTAGTAACAAATTTGACGTTATCTTATATACAGGCTGTTTCTGTGCTAACTGTATTTATTAAATATATACATGCTTTCAAATGACATATAAAGCTTATTAGTTGTTTTTACAAATTATCTTTAAATTTAAAAGTAGTTTTATTTATTTTTAAATAAAATTACAACTATCAAAACAAATACCTTAAAACTTGACGTAGACGTACAGTACACTAGTATGTATGCAGTGAGTGATTTGTGATTAGATATTGCAATATGACATTCAAGTCGATACATCTTATCAATGAGCTACATAAATCGCCGATTTACAGAACAATGTCATTAAAGAAATATTCAAACTAACGCTATCAAATACTGCAACTAATACAGAAGGTCATCACGAAGCTCTTACCCAATTTTGTCTATTTAAATTAATATGTGAAGCAAAATCTTTGGACACCTCATTATATACACGAGTATACTAATATTATAAAGAGGATTGATTTGCTTGTGTGCATTGAATAGACCCCGAAACAACTGGAGCGATTTTGAACATTATTTCACCTGCAAGTAGGTAAGCTACTTTATACACAAATGACATGGACTGTAATTTACGCGGGCGAAATCACGGGAATAGCTAGTGTACACAAGCGGAGGAGTATGATAGGCATATTTAAAAATTTTATGTTACCTAAGAAATGCATAATCATTATATTATCTTAAAATCAAAAGAAATATTAATCTTTGAAACCTTAATAATGGTCGAATATAATCCCCTCAATTTTGACCACTACTTATTCACTAAAGGCGTATGTAAGCAGTCTTATAAATGATATCAGTTCTTACCCTTGGCACACAGAATTCGGATGAAGCGCAAATTTAAAATTTGTTTTTATAATCAAATTTTAATTCTCTTTACTATTAATAAATATATTGGCGCTCATTATTAACCACATCGACAATTAATTGTTAATTGTTCATATAATTAATTAGCCGTTTCTAATATATTAGGCAAAGTACGTTTATGCTTAATGCTTATAAAATCTTTCTGGATATACCATTTGTATATGGCTGATTTCGGTACCACTAAAAAGTTTAAATTTTAAATAATTTTCAAGAACTCCGAATTCAAATTACGAATAATTTCTATAGCAAAGGAATCATGTCCCTACCTACAAGATGGCAAAAAGTTATCGAACAAAATGGCACCTACATGTTGTAGTTAAATGTAAATAAACTTTATTTAAAAAATGTTTTGGATTATCATATAAAATGCGAAGAAACTTACTCCCCAACCTATTACACACACGATTACTTAATTCAAAAATGCAAGTAGAAATTGCAACTTTATACGTTTTTCAAAATATCTACATTACCATAATAACATAATTAATCATTAGTTATTATATATAATAACTTATAATGTCAGAAAGAACACACGAGTACACAAAAAATATGCCAATTGTGGCAATCAAATAATATTGTTCATACAAAAATAACAAAAGTTCTTCATAAACCAAAAAACCTTCTTGATAGGAAATTGCCTGTAACAACAGTCCAAGTACATATTTACGGACAACCAGAAACATTAACATTTACTTCATAAATCAGTATCGATAATTATTATTTATTTTTATTTGTTCCCATTTAATTTACGACTCTTTGTTCAATAAATACAGTCAGCTACATAAATGCTAATATTTATAACGATAAATACATATTATCAATAAATACCTGACTATAAATATTTCAACAAATAACCGGCTTTATATATTTTATTTATATATAAAAACTAATAATACCCTAATACAGCTCTTTGTTTATAATAACTATCTGTGATAAAAACATGAAATATAAAAAAATACTGTTTTTTTTCGAAACTGATAGCGCCCGCCTATCATTCTAGCCCAAATATTTAACTAGCCCAAGTATTTTTAAAGAAGAGTTGAGTGGTCGCTCTCCTAAGAAACGACTTTGCGATTTTGAAATACAGAAATGCGATTACTTCAAGAATATACTCTTTCATACAAAAAATGTGCAACTGAGACAGGAATAGAGTCAAATTGAAAACCTGTTCTTTTTTGGAAGTAGGTTAAAAATAAACTGTAATATATTGCTAAACGAAGTTAGGGTAAAAGCTAGTGTTCATAATAAAAAATACACTAATTAAATTATGTAAATAACATACTTACTCTATGATATGAAACTAAAGTACTTTTTTTTAATTTTTCAGATCTATAGGAATGATTAAAAATTACTTTTATAATAAGTTTTTAAATTGATGATTAATCTGCGAAACAAAATCATAATTAGTTACTTTTAATGACATTAAAATAATTCATTTAATTTACTTATATTTTTGTTATTCCAAATAATATGACTAACAGCCAGTTGTACAAAAGTCAATTAAAATTTTCAATAGTTTAAAGTGACATTACCCATACAAATTTGATATTCATTCAGAGCTTAAAGGCGTCATTACAGCTTAAAGGACGTTTGTGCAATTGACCGAAACACTTTTATTAACTTTAGCTCCTCTATGAATTCCTAGTTTCTTTTAATATTTTGTCTAATTCATAATTCTATTAGATATAAATGCGAAAATAGACTAGGTTTTCAACTTTCATAGTCAACTGCTGAGCTCTGTTTTTCTAGTGTCCATTCTCAGTGAAAGTATGACTCCAGTGAGCCATCTTCTTTAAATTGTAATTGATCCAGAAAACGGAACAACTATGTCACTGTCGTATCCTCATCAACAAGATAGTAATGTCCACATCCTTTCCTATCGATAAAATCGAATAAAGAGACTACAATATAATTTTTCTGTTAAGGCGTTTGGAGTAAGATTTCATTTATAGTCTACCACTTGATAGCAAGATAATTAGGCTGTCTTTCTAAACAGTTGAAGGCTTACTATATTCTGTTTGTCATTCCGAATCATAAAATTCTGGCATTTAAATATATAGATGTAAAAAAAAACCTGATTATCAAGCACGGTGGCTCGTCAGTCAGCGATGCAGAGTTTAAGCAACGTCACGAGATGGGTGAAATTACTCTCTTCAAATAAAGTCTATCTTAATAAAAAGGTTGAATAGGACTTGAAAACCATGTAATAGACGTGGGTGAACCCGTTGCCAGAAAGCTTCACGTTATAAAGCAAATTCTTTAAAGTATGTTTGAATGTGATGAGCCGACAGACAGAATAAACAGGGTTAATTCATGAGAAAGGTAGCCTGTTCAAGAGTCATGATAATTATTGAAAAAAAAAATCTGTATATCATACAGACTAGTGGCAAAAAAATTTTTACTTACATCCATATGAAGTTTGGATATGGCGCTACCATTTCTTTATCCGTAACACGATCTTAATATTTCAATTTTATCATTTAACCAGTTAGATTCCCTCAAATTCGCTTGCCTATCTCACCCGCTTATGAGATAGCCTATGAATAGTTTCAGAGCCTTTTCCAAAATGAAAATATATATATTGTTAAAAGATAATTATCATTATCACCAGCCCTTTTACGTCCCCACTGCAGGGGCTCAGGCCTTCCTTATGGATGGTTAAGGAGGATGAGCCATGACCCTCAACGCTGGCCCAATGCGGATTGGAGGGTATTAACGACTGCAAATGCAGCCGGGACCAACGGCTTAACGTGCCTTCCGAAGCACGGAGTAGCTCGAGATAATAATTTTTGGTCACCCATCCCGTGACCGACCCTTGCGAAAGTTGCTTAACGATTACGATCGCGGGCCGCGGCGCTTATCCACTACGCCACCGAGCTACTCACCCGCCTATGAGATAGCCTATGAATAGTTTCAGAGCCTTTTCGAAAATGAATATATATATATATATATTGTAAAAAGATAATATACCTATTTATTTCATCTTTTTACTTTTTACAATATATATTTTTTCAAACACGCTATAGCAAAACAAGATGGCGCACATGGCAGCCAATTCATTATAATGACTAATTTGACAGTGCAAATTGAACTGCTAATACACATTATTTTCTCATACTAATTTAACAATCCCGACCATTTTTCGGACGAAGGTCAAAGAAGTGTATAATGATATTGTGAATAAGGCATTGTGGGGTATCTTGCAAGAAGCCTGATGAACAGTCGTTATGATGACGGACTATGACCATAAACAATTACCGCCTTTTCTGTTTTTTTTTTTAAACGCACCACCTAAAATTACCTACTCTATTACATCTGACAAGAAGTTTTATTGTTCTAAAATTAAAAGCAGTTTGTTTGTAGATGTTAGTTTTTATCATTATATGTGATTAGTATAATATATTTAGTATTTTTCTAAAGGTAAGTAATAATAGTCATTAAAATACCAAGCTATCCACTGGAGCGTCGATAATCTGTTAAAACTCATTTTGGGCACGGGGGCTTAAGCGTCGAGCCTTTTTTGCGCTAGGAGAAATATAATTTTTTGGAAAATTCTTAGTTGGTATATCCATATCATAATGAGTATATCCATATTCATATTTATGGAAATGAAAGCCTTATTGTATACTTATCAAAGACGAAAAGATGTCTGAAAAAGAAGACATTTTTGAAATAATTGGGAAAGATATCCCTCGACAGAGGAAATCACCAAACTGCCAAGGGACTGTATGATGGAAAGAGGAATTGGCGGATATTATTATTAATGAACAATTTTCAAGTACACATAACATTTACTATTGCCTTGGTAATGAGTGTCACGCGAAAAATTATAATGTATCTACTTAACTATTCAATCACAGAAATAGGATAATGTTATTTAGATTATTAATTTACACCACACCTTCTTGTCAACTAGTTAAAGCACGACTTATTGTAGTTTATTTATATATTAATATTAAGTCGTGATTTAAATATAAGCACTTAGATGACAAATACGTTATATTCGCAAAACTTCGAAGGTAACAATTTGAGACAAACAGTTTTAGTAACTTTTTAAATATTTTCTCTAATTCATAATTATATTCGATATAAATGCGAAAGTAGACTAGGTATTAAACTTTCACAGGCAAAGGAAGGCCTAAGCCCCTGCAATGGGGACGTAGAAGGGTTGATGATGATGATTGAGTTAGTAATGACATAGAAAACTTAAATAAACTCGCTTAGTCATTTTAGACCCCCAAATCAACGCAGGTAAAGTCGTAGGTTGAACGTTCTCTTAAAAGAAACCACGTATGTACTTCAAAGGTAAATAGTTATATTATTTATTGTATATTAGATCATTAGAGATTAATATCCCTATTAATATAAAAATACTATCAACACTGTACTTTGTCTATCATTTACAAAAGAAAAACTGAAAATAAGGACGGATAATATTCACAAGCTTCTTGCATATCAGATCAGATCCAATACAGAAATAGTCAAATACAACTAACTGACAAAGTGACTATTTGGCTGACAACATAGGAGGTGCAATCATGCAATAATAGCATCACGCGTATCCACTTAGCGACCGGGAGAAGTAGGGGCACGTGGTGCCAAAGAGATTGACGCAGATTATATTATTATAGCATAATATGTAGGTGTTATACCAAATTTGAATATAAAAAGAAAAATTGATTGAATTACAGAGGACTAAATTTTAATATAGTTGCCTCTTACATGCAAGCTAATGCCAATGTCGAAAAATTTAGACTTTAATGAAAATCATAACTCCGCTGTCTAATAAACCATTTTCAAAGAAGAAATTACTTAATGAAAAAATAATGGTTTCGGTTCCATTTTTTTTTAGGTTTTGATTTCACGCATTTTAGTGATATTGTGAGTTTTGGGGTAACAAACATCACTAAATACAAAGACATATGGTTTTCTCATAAATGCAATTGTTAGATCTGGACAATTGCATCTATGAGAATTTAAATGGCCCACATGGCAAACACTAGTTTTCAAATAAAGAAAGAATCATCAAAATGGGTCCACTCAGTAAAAAGTTATGAGGTAACAAATAGAAAAAAATACAGTTGAATCGAGAACCTCCTCCATTTTTTTGAAGTCAGTTAAAAATGCTAAAAAGTCCTCTTCGTCCCTGGTACTCTGAAATGGGACAAAGTGGATTTTTCATTATGAATATTTTCCAGTATAACATTGTGAATGCAAAAATGATCAAATATAATACTTACTACTTGTTTTAAACTAATTAGTACAATTTTAGGAAATTAAATAGTCAAAAAGCGGTATTTAAAAACAAAATTATGACTTTATTATAAAAATTTTTTAAGACAATTAATTGAATTATATAAAATATTTATTTTCTTAAACTTGCGATATTGCTTCTTAGCTTAATTTAAAAGGAAAAAATCATTGGCCGCTTTAAAAAAGTTAAGCGATTACGCTCGGTGGCGTAATGGATAAGCGCCGCGGCCAGCGAAAAATAATTATCTCGAGCTGCTCCGTGCTACGGAAAGCACGTTAAACCATTGACCCCGGCTGCATCTGCAGTCGTTAATGCGCTCTAATCCGCATTGGGCCCGCGTGGAGGGGTCATGGCCCATCGTCCTTAACCATTCATAGCGAAGGCCAAAACCGTAACAGTGCTGAAGATGAACCGATTACACTTATTGAATAATATCTACGATAGAAACCTTTTCATTTAATACCCATATCAAAGAAATTGTTTTCGAAATTATAAATCGCGATTTTGTAACGTGTGCCATACACGTACATATATTTAGAATGACTTCATTTTGTTTATCATATTCCGTTCATCAAATTCTATCATGGGGTCACTATACTATGTAACAGATCTTCAGAAGCTTGTAATAAATCCCGTCACTATTATATAACTTGTTTATGAATGATTCAATGTATTGCGTGCGTAGGTATAATTATTTTGATTACGAATACAATTGCAAATAAATAATTTTTTCTTGCATCCATCTTATCACCAAAGTCCAACAGGTCGCGTCTGTCTATTTTGCACGCGAGAATCTCAAAAAATACTAACAGAAAAATACTTTCGTTTAGCATTAGTTAAGGAGCCAATGGGCCATGACGCTGGCTGCAAATGCCTAAAACAACTGCTTGACATTCCTTCCGAAGCACGGAGTAATTCGAGATAATAACGACGCTGGAAAACAAACACGTAGTAACCTGCAAAACCAAAATGGATATTTAGAGTGGAAAATCTTTATATTTATCCAAAAAATATATCTTCTTTCCGTATAAATTGATTAAGGAACACCTTATTTGTTACCATGGATGTTTATAGGAATTATTTATCGAATAAAATAAAAGTTTTTCTGCTCTAAAGAACAATTTTGGTTTTGCGGGCTACTACGTGTTTGCTTTCCAGCGTCGATAATTTTTTGGTCAATCATCCCTTGAAAGCCTTGCGAAAATGCTTTACAACAACGATCACCGGTCACGGTGCATATCCACTACTACGAGTTTTATATGTACTGGTTATTAATAATCGGACATTTATGAGTAACTTTGCGAATAAATCTCTAATACAAGAGTCTAATAAGATAAGCAAGAGTCCATATAATGTGCAACTTATTCTAATGTATCATATATTTCTATGATCTATGGATTCTCTGATCTATGCTTATCTATGATCTATATACATAGTAGATCTATGACTCTGCAGAGCACAAATTTAATATAGCTAGTCTAATAAATGATAATAAAGACACTCTGTATATCTAGGTATCTTTGCGATGTCCATCTGTTGTGTCATTTCCTTTTATAATCGTATTACCGCAAATGATGTTTAATCTGTATTTAACTAATTACGATTTTATTACTTATTATCTTCATGCATTTGAGTAGAGGAAAGTTGTTATGACATAATTCATCACCATCATAAGCCATCATTATCTTTGTTTACAGATTTCACCGGATTTTAAGCTTTGGACGTTGACGTTGGTGTTTGTTAAGCCTTGAGGACTGTCAACACAGACAATTTACTACTCTTACAAAAACCGCCAAGATGACTTAAATGACCTGTATTTTATTGGCTTACAAACCAACAGATAGTAAATAGAAACTTCTCTTTATTAAACTTTCTAATTATATTTTTATTTTTTAGTTTATTCATTTCTGACGTAACATCTGTATTACCAGATCAAGGTCTTAATATGTTGTTCTTCTCATAAAGGCGGATCTAAAGAGCCCAAATACGATGCAGTTGCGTTATTTCATTACTAAGTCCCTATGAACACCTTTCGACTTCATCATCATATCAGCTTACTGACACCTTATTTTTCATTGTCATTTGACTTACATGTCTATGCAAAAATTTAAATCTATGGTAATAAGAATCCCATCTTGTAATAAGAACTCCATATGACGAAATAATTGCATTAAAATATAGCGAAAATGAGAAGAATCGCCGCCGTCAAATATGCCCCTCAGGTCCTTTGTTTTTACAATAGCAATAAAAACAATATTCAATAAGGTCTACAACTTCCAAACTTTCATTAGAGAATGAATAACTTAAAACCAACGTCTTAACGTGCCTTCCGAAGCACGGAGGAGATCGACATAATAATTTTTTGTTTACCCATCCTATGACAGGCGATTGCGAAATATACTTAATAAACAATGACCGCGTGTCAGGACGTTTATCCACTATGCCACTGAGCTACTCTAAACCAAGATTACATTGTATAAATAGAAGCTACTAGTTGTTTTCCCGCGATTTCTCCAGCGTAAATTTGTATTATTGTATCAAAGCCTAATTCAATCCAAATAAACGAACAAACCATTTTCCCGATAAACTTACATTATGAAAAATTGAAGAATCCTTAGGATTTGGGCAAGAGCCTGATTAAATTTTAATTCTTGTATTTGCATTAAATAATGGCAATTAAAACATAATTAGAAAAAACTCAAAAAATTATGTTCCTAAATAGTCATTCTAACATTTAAATTAATTTAGTAGTAGTAAAAAAGAGAGAGAATTTTTTTTTTCATATTTCATAAGATACATGTTTTAAGATACCTTGCCTACCTGAACTCCATAACTCATATTTACATAATACCCATCTACTACTTATTATTTTGCAACATTTCTTTTGTTCTTTTCTAGTTATAAAGTTTTTAAAATTGTAATATAACTACTTTACTAAAGGGGTAATTGATATAATTTAAAAGCTTACATTGTGACGTTTAGAAAAGTTCTTTGTTTTCTTGTGAGAAAAATAACTTTTTGGTTGCACAGTTCCAATAACGTCAATGCTAAATTATAATGAAATTATCAAAAAATCTTTTATTAATAACGCACTTCTTAGCTCTGAGGATGTCAAGAGAAACATACCTTGTCACTGAAATGATTAATTCAAACATATGTAGAACAAACTTCATCAACAACGATAATGTCCGCCTTATCACATTATTTACGTCTGAAACATGATATACCTCATTTCTTACACGCAATTTTCCACATTTCAATCACATCACACATTTAAAAATCGAATAACCGATTCCAAAAAGTTTTCACTTGCTCACGTTTACAAAGAAAATAAAAAAAAATGTTTAAAAGAGTTCGGCGTTCACTTATCGACGTGTAAATAGTAAATTCTGAAAACAATATCTTAAGTTTTTATCTTTATACAGATTAGATATTGACTTATTCAAGGATCGCGATTCGTTCAAACATTCTCTTAAGAACTATTTACGGTGGTTATTTTAAAATGATGACAATCGAAGAATGTCATTGGTGCGTTCTGATCTAAACTTTTTGATTTGAACTCCTTTGAATTATTATCTACGTAGCTACTTCACTGCCGAATACGGACTATTAAATATGTGTGTGAATTACTTACGGATGATGTATAGATATTTTTCAACAGGTGTAAGCAGCAATATGTCGTTTGCTGTTTATGGGATTTACCATTACGTTTTTATTAAGTAGATTAACTTTATTATATTAGCAAAGTAATTATATTAAGAGTATAGTTTTTAAATTAAGGTGAAAATCTATTAAAATAAGTATCTGCAAAATAAATAATGGGCTAAAACTTTTAACACCAAAATAAGAAAAGGAATATACGTATTTTTTCTATGACTGATTGCAAAATTTTTACATCTTAAAAATTCAAATAAGACTACAAAGTATTACATACACCTTAATATGACTAGAATATTACGCTTGTGTCAATCATTTCAAAATTAGCAAATATTTTGACTTGTGTCAAAATAGGCATTTAGCTAATGTTAAAATGTAAAAAAAAAAATTTTTTTTAATAAACTAAATCCATTCCAAAAAGACACTGAAAAATAATTCTTAAAAATATATCCAAGAAACTTAGTTTTTAAAAAATAATCTGTATGTGACATACACAAAGCAACAATATTAAATTCTAAAGATTGTACAACTCTATGTATTAGTTTTCTTATTTCACAGCTATTAATCCATGCAATTACATAATTTAACTATTGGCTAAATCATATAACAATAAAGAGATTATTGAAAAAAATATAATTATTATTATAATACATGATCTGTGTTCTATCTCTGATATGTATTATTATATTTTTCTTTCATATATTCTTTTCAAAATGTTTTCAATTTGCATATGTTTTTTATCTTTAATTTCATCTATTACAGGGAGAGCACATATCCAAGCCCTTCTATTGTACTTATATTTGAGTATTTGAATTTAGGCTATGATTTTCTGATCTTACTTAACCGCCCGACTTCAAATGATTTTTTTTATTTGTTAATAAATATAAAAAAATGCAAGTTTATTTTTTTTAATTTAATTTTTTATAGAATTTATAACGAACAAAATGAACACATTAATTTTTCAAGTTTAAATAGAAGCTTCTTTTGCAATCCACATATATATATGTATCTACTGAAAGAACTACATCCCCTTAAGAATAGGCAATGGCATCATCGACATATAAATATTTAGACTATATTGAGACTATCTGCTTTTGATAAAATTTTAAAGAAACCCCTCGAAAATGTATCCTTTCAAATATGAAAAGAAAATATCATAAAGTGTATAAAATTTGCCCTCTTCATGTGGAGTATTTTAGTTATATGTTATCTATATTTGCGACTGCCTTTTGGCGTAATTTTGGTAAAAATATTACATAACAAGATATCATACTATTAAATCGTTTATTCAAATTAGCATTCTTTTAGTTTTAGCACGTTAAAAAGTTTTGTTAAGTGGCACAAAATTATAGCAAATGTAAACCCGGCTTTAGAGATGATGCATGAAATATTTTCTCTAATAATGAATATGGAAAAACTAAGTGTATTGTCCTCAAATAATATTGTAAGAATTGCCGAAAATAATTTCAACGACAAATCATTTACCTACATTTTATGAGAGAGATATGATAGATTTTCACCAACAATTAAACGAAAGCCTTAGTGCAATTGTTGTTATCACATCTTAATATCAAACGTATTCTTAAGAAGGGAATAATAAAATAAATATATAATAATCCAAATAAATGATTACCTATATAGCAAAATACATTTAGAAGTGGCAGAACGATTCGAAACACAAGCTACCTCTTATATATATGCTTATTAAAGCGATTCCTTTATTGAATAATTACAGACGTGAATATTAAACGAATTAATTTATTTAAAGTTTAAAAAATTTAAAATATTAATATCACATTCTTCCAAATCATGTCTCGCAATTTACTTCGTATAATATTTTAAGCATCTCACTATCTTATCTCAGTGACTTGTGAAGATTTATCTATTATAGTGATTCATTCTGACCTAATTTCATATATTTCGACTGCCTCTTACTTCTTTCAAACTATAATATATTACGTACTACTACTATCGTTATATTTTAAATCATACATTTCATATACAATGTACCAATAATCCCTGATAGTGTTTTCTAAGTTCTCTATCTCATAAACACAATTTACTTACTCTTAAACACTAATATACCTAGTTATATCACTATTAAATATTTAAACACAGCCATTTAATCAATGGTGTTTGATGCTATGAGTCATACTTTAAGTTGAAAATCAATCATAATTTAATTAAACTGTAGACGAAAATATTTTTTTAATGTCAAGATAACATATAAACTCTAGAAAGATATTACACAAACCGTATATGGTTTATATACGGTTATTCATAATGTGTTGATCTTACCGCCTAAATACTAGTAAGACATTACACATGTTGTGTACAGCCTACAACAATTAGACTAAAAGTTTTCAATATTTTCAAAGCTTAGTAATGTAATACATAATATTAAACAACATTATATATATCGCACGTTGAGAATGACAATGTCACTAACCAAAAACGACGTATTTTTTACTTTTGGCAACATTTTTCTTTGTTAAGTATAAACTTTAAAATGCAAAGATCCCTGTGAACGTAGCTTGCATAGAAACTGCTAGGTGGCATAGTGACGATATGTTTTTTAGAGGGGCTGATTACAATTTCTTGAACTTTGAACGCTCATTACTCAAAATCGCATTTTTTGCATTGTGTCACTATCGTTCTCAACGTGCGATTTATCTAAGACAACTAAAGTACCACAACATCCAGACCCAAGACAGTAAAAATATTACCTTTTTCTACACTGAAACGACCGGAACCCTCAGAGGTAGCGATACCTTAAAACCAGAGCACTATTGACACAACTTTCTAATACCCCTACTAGGAAATCATATTTTACCTGCAAGTATCTTGGCGATACACCGTACTTTGACCGATGGAGCTGCTGTAAGTAGGTATACGATGGAGACTAGCCGAAGGATGTATCTGTGCTGGTCTCAAGAAACCACTCCCGCTGTACAGCATAGGGGACTCCACCATGGAGCTGTCATAAGCACTAGTTTCATCGGTTTCCTCCTCAATAACTCCAGGTTTATAAAATATCTTTCCAGCGGAAAGCCCGGGTTTATCTGTCTTCTTCTCCTTTTCATCACCTCGCGTTTGCATTTCGTATGAAGATGAATCGGTAGCCATTTTGATGTGTTCTCTTGTCAAGATATTGAATTGAGTTGATATGTTGAATTCATATTACTGTTTGTAGCAAATTCTTTTGCTATAATCGTTCTGTGTTCTGTTTTGACCATTTTTGGAATTTCTCTTTGTTTCAAACCTGGAAAAAGAAAACAATAACGCTATCCTTAATGAGATCACTTTAGACATATTAATGGCAAAGGTTACGCTTTTATAATGTGATATATATCAATAATAATCACTGCATTAATTCTATTTAGGTTTTTATAATACTTTATTTTCACTCAAGTGTTGCTTTGTTTTAGGTCCAGAATAATAGAAATCATAATTTTGAGCAGTGTTAACATTGTCGCCATATATCACATGATCGGACGCGAGGACGACTAAATACCGAGTCATATTCAATTAGCCGACTACCATCTGTGTTCTGATTCCGTTGCGTAATTAATCATTACATATAGGTGTGTGTATGATCCCTGTCATTTGTCTACCGTTTAAGTAATAGGTCAGTACACTACAATTAAAAGATATGTCATCTTGAATAACTACCGTGGTGCATGGTGCCGTAAATTTTGCTAACAAATATTGTCATAGGCCTCCTATCCCGAGTGACTATATCTTTTTGCGACGATAGATGGCGTTTGTATAGATTTTTAGTCAGAAGATATATGAGTGTAATTTAAAGTATATCATCGCTTACAATTTATGTTTCATCTTTCAAAAAATCCTTTCAAAAATATTAAATCAAAGGATTTACAACAGGAAATAAATAGTAGGTATAACTCGTATAAATTAACATTCTGACACCTCAGTCTGAAAATTTCAAACCATTCTTGAAAAGTTTCAGTGGCAGTATCAGCCTCCTTATTCTCGAATGCAATCGCGACCGATCGACATTGTAATTGTGCCGTTTCGCACACTTGATTGGTTTACTAGCATACTCTGGCGATAGTGTAACCAATCAAGAATACGAAAACGGCGCAAATGCAATGTCGATCGGTTGAGATTGCGTTCGAGAGTAAGAGAGCATTGCATCACAAATTATACTCCGAAAATTGTGTTTCTTTTGAGACAAAATTTTGTCTCGGACAAATATAAGCATTAATTCGTACGAGCAGTATCAGTCATTGTTTGCTTTAGAGTAGTTTCCATATATTAACACATACTACTAGTTCCATCTATTGTCGAGTAGCCTAACTAACAGCCTTAATTTTCATTAAGTGTAAACCAAAATTATTATTACTTTAGTTCAAACCCAATTAGAGAAAAGTACACAAATTTAAATAATAAATCTGAATATTTTCATGCGTTTGGCTTCTGTATCTCATTGCTTCGGAGGACATAGTTTATACAATTACCCTTGCCGTTTCCATAAACGGTAGCAATCTTGAACGGCGTTCCCAAGAGTTATCACGAGGCGACCTTGGCTATCAGGATGTACTCTATCTCCACTAACTGTTAACGCCACATCGGATGTAATTATAACCCTCCCACCGTCTTATTCCATATTGCGGAAACCGTCGTAAAATAATCATGCGGCGCTCTTACGATTCACGAACGTTCTACATGTTCCTCGGCATTTTCTAGACTTTTGCTTATTACATTTTAGTCTTTTATTATATATATATCTTATTTGAGGAGTTTAATAGCGCTGTGGTGAGCGCGGTCGGTCTGCGATGCGTTTAACCACCTTTCTTAAGTGTTAGTCATAGGATCGACGATCAAGAATTTATTATTTAGGCTCCACAGCGTGAGCTCGCGTGTTGGGTCATGGTATGACCTATTCCTATTCGATTCCATCCATAGGGAAAGTCTGTATCATTTATAGGCATGTGATGATGATTATATTTTCCATAATAAGCTATAGTCAAACATAATAAACTTAAGAACAAAAAACAATTTTAACAAATTAAACGTTGATATGAACAAATATTTATTTGTGAATTTTGGGATCCGTAACAAAAGGGCAAAACGCCCTTTAAGACTAAGACTGTCCGTCTGTCACCTGGCTGTATTTCATGAACCGTAATCAGTGGCGTAGCTACTAAGGGGCTAGGCGGGGCAGTGCCCCAGGGCCCTCAAGCTCAGGGGGCCCTCGAATCTACCAGAATATCTCAATCGCACTCAACTTTTGAAAATTTCTCCCATTTTCAAAATAAATATGACAGGTGACAACTCGGATTTAATCATGGTGTGAGAAAGAAAAGAAACTCAGTTGTGAGAAATTCTAAAGTAATAAAAAAGGAATTCCCCTAAATTATTTGTGTGGGTTGACAGTGTTATTAATGTTTTCATCGATTTGTCGGATATTAATACCTGCATATTATTATTTATAGATATGCGTTTTTGTGATTCGCGATTGTGAACTTCGAGTCAAGATTTTTTTTCGAGAATGGTTAAAAAGTTAATGTATCAGGAGTAAGTAAGCGTATGTCAATAATTTTTTTGTACTGGACCATACAAAAGTTCAATTTTATTTTATTTTAGTACGTATACATAGTTACGTAAAGAAATCTATAGATTTCGGCTACTCACTATATAACTCAAAATACCGTGAACAATACAAGTCACATGTGGTAGGGGGCCGTCCATTAATTACGTGGTGTTTTTGTCATTTTTTAAACACTGGCAAATGTGGTAACACTGGCGGCGATAAAATGTTTACGGGGATTCCCCAACGACGTCTTGTATAGTATCATTAAGTTTCGCTTTCCAGTGAGTACCTTCTTGAGTACAATCTTACATAAATATTGCATAAATAAATTAGAAAACTAATATTATGGACAAAAAAAAAGAAACCCTGTGGTGCATTTAAACGCAAACAACGCCAAGAAAGAGAAGAAAGTAAACATAAACTGCCCAAAATTGACAAGTTTTTTAGTCAGCCTTCTGCAAGTACTTCTGGACAAAATATTTCTATTGATAATTTTTGTAAATAGCTTACATGGCGATAGGTTAAATAACAGTAAGCTGGTGCAACGTATCTATGAACAAATAAATATATAATAAACCCTTGAATCTTTTCTATTTCGTTAAAAATATTTGTTATTTATGTTGTTAGTGCTAAATAGTTTTATTACTGCCCATGCACGAAAAATAGCTGATGATAAAGTTGCTTAGCATTTAAAAAAAAAATGTATATTTAGTAATTTTACTTCAAAAAACTTTACTAGTTTTGATAGCAGTGGGCCCCATTTTTTATTTGCCCCAGGGCCCTAGGTTACCTAGCTACGCCACTGACCGTAATGATTGGCAGTTGGTATTTTCAAAGGTGTATATCTATTGCCGCTTTAAGAACAAATACTACAAAATAAGAATAAAATAGATATTTAAGTGGACTCCCATACAACAAACGTGATTTTTTTTGCGGTTTTCATAGATAGTGGTACCATTTACACTTTTTTATAAGCCACTAGCTTCATTCCATGACACACACCTGCGGCAATTTCTTGTTCTCGTCTCATATATCTACGATAGAGTTTGACGTATTTATGATTGTAAAAATCCTGTCGATCCAAGGAACATAGTGAATGCCACATAGTAGAAATTACTGGCCATAAGGTAAACATCGTCATATATTCTCTACTGATGGATAATAATGGATGTTTACAATCAATGCTAATATAATAAGGTACATTATGGGTCTTGACATTTTATGCATAATGTGTATGCAAGATTATATAGTTATAATTAATGAATTAGCTAATACTTTTTTTATTTCGATGATATAATCATGGTCTGTGATATGATAATATAATTTCAAATAAATATGTTTATAATTTAGGCATTCAATGCTTGTCCAATTCACAATCTAATTTTGTGTATTGTGAAGACGGGTTAGTTATAAATTATATAACTTTGATATATAAATATTAAAAATGACAATTAGGTTAATTATATTTAAGCTCATAGCAAACAGTGACGTTGTAATATTATCTTAAGATAAAATATTGCTTGCAATACAATCCAATGGCCCGACACACTGCTAAGATAATATAATATTTTCATATTACTTAATATATATATCAGTGTCGTTTGGCAACCTAATATACTTATATTAAGTTGCCAAACGATACTGATATATATATATCGTATATTAAGTAAGATAGCATCTTAAGATACGGAAATAATTATATTTATTTATTTCAAAATATTATCATATCTTAACCGTGTATGATAGCTTAAGATGTTAAATTACCTATCTTACGATGAAATATTTATCGGTAAAGCATCTAAGCCGTCTACGAGCTGCGAGCTCTGACTTTAAGTATGATCACTCCTGAGCCGTTCGTTCATTGATATTTTTTGTAATGCATTATGCTGACTTGATCATTTATACTCTATTTTACATAAAAATTAATGACTTGATGCGTCTTGCTGATTATACCGGCTGATAAAGTATAAATCATCATCATCAGCCCTTTTTACGTCCCCACTGCAGGGGCCTTCCTTATGGATGGTTAAGGAGGATGGGCCATGACCCTCCACGCTGGCCCAATGCGTATTGGAGGGTAAATATGTAGGTTTATAAAGTATAAATATGTAGGTTTAAACTAATTATAACTAAATTGAAATCACTTTAATTCGCCAGCATAATGTGTGCGCTAATGACGGGAATTCACGGTTTAGGCAGTGCACGCGCAACTTTAACTCGAATTACGTTGAAACTATTAATGGGCCGGTTAGCATTGTGTCATAATAATGGACATTATGTTCCAGTAGTAAGTACCATAGCACATGCGGTTACCATTAACAGATATCATGACAGATAAAACGAGAGAAAGCAATGCTTTCATTTATTGTTACTTTACGGATTGTAAACACGCGGTTTGTTACTCAAATTGTTAACAAATAAAAATAAATCAGTTTTATAAATAATACTATTATATCTAATTGAAGTTTTTGGTCATATTTTAATGTAGCTCGGTGGCGTAGTGAATAAACACCGCGGCCCGCGATATTTGTTGTTAAGCAACTTTCGCAAGGGTCGGTCAAGGGATCGATGACCAAAAAATTATTATTTCGAGTTTATTTCAATTTTCTAAATAGCTAATATATGATAAAAATCTTCAATTTTTTGATCATATTTTCAATTTTTTGATCGTATTTAAATGTAGTCAAACTTAATCTGTCATCATT